TAGAATTGAATTATACAAATGGTATCATCAACCTTTGGGCTTTGTCACTAATTGTGCTTCAAAAACTGAAACCTTGGAAAAAAGGACTTGAGACTTTAAAACAGTAATGTAGATTTATATAGCGCTTTGTACCACAACGGGCGATCTCGAAGTGCTTGAGGTGTGGACTGGCTCTTTCAAGTAACTTTCTTCTCCCCCAGGGTGTTCCCCAGTAAACCAATACCAGCAGTGGCTACACTACGGGGAATAGGTGCTGAAGCCATACACCCCCCCCCCCCAGTTACGGGGAAGTTAGCAAAGATTTGTTGGAGGATAAAAATAATGATTTAAAAGTTTATATCAAATGTTGGCCTCAATTGAATAGGCTTATATAAATTAATAGTTTGGATGACGATGAGATATAAAAAAACACCATCATTAGGTCAAGATGCTCTGTATGAGCGTCTCCGGCTTATTTTTTTTAATTTTCTCATCCAACTTGCTCGCTACTGGGTCTCGACTTTGTTATTACTGGGTCATTGTTCTCATATTCCATACTGAAAATCAGAGTCATACTAAAAGCACAATTGAAAACAAAACCCACTCATTTCATTGTTGGAGGATAAAAATAATGATTTAAAAAGTTTATATCAAATGTTGGCCTGAATTGAATAGGCTTATATAAATTAATAGTTTGGATGCCGATGAGATATAAAAAACACCATCCTTAGGTCAAGATGCTTTGTATGAGCGTCTCCGGCTTATTTTTTTTCTCATTTTTCTCATTCAACTTGCTCGCTACTGGGTCTCGACTTTGTTATTACTGGGTCATTGTTCTCATATTCCATACTGAAAATCAGAGTCATACTAAAAGCACAATTGAAAACAAAACCCACTCATTTCATAATGTTAATAAAAATTAGGCTAGCTAAACAAATTTCGATGCTCAAGTACCATATTCTTATAGAGTACCACAGTCGTGTCGTCACAACGCCAGGTGGCGCCCTCTGTCGCCAACCAGACATTGGTTACCGTTCGTTACGCCTGAATGACTTCATAAGGCTTTCTGGAATTGGCATTTTAAAATCTAATATTTACCATCAAAATGTATTAAAAACACAAAAGCTCGCATGATAGCAACGTAGTAGTATCACATGGTATCGTGACGTAACACTGTAGTACGTAGTCTATAACTAAACACAGGCCATATAGGCTGACTCTGTCATGTTAGCAGTAAATTTTAAAAATCTGTAAAATCGCAGTCTAGTCTTCGAGTGGGTGTCGGGCCTCTAAGGTCAATATTTTAAAAACACTTTGCCTCTCTCTCTACCCAAACTTGGAGAACTATTATACTCTACAATATGGAATCTCTCATAGTATGCATTGGATAAAATTTGTTCCTGTGACTGGGACCATAATATTAATAAATTGTGTTACATGTACCACCTCATTCTCTTCTCTCAATGATAAAACGACATCAATATACAGGGAAAGAAATAAGTTTATTAATTCCTGATTTGACTGACAGAATTGTTGTAGGCCAATTTTTTAAATGTAGGATTAATAAGTGGAAAAAAATCAGTCGAAGATTAACTAAAAATCTATAACCCAGCTGGCTGAACTATATTGTGTTGACTGGCTGCAGACTGTAGTCCTGGTTATTCATGTTTGTTTGAAGTGTCAAAGAATAATCATAGAGAAGTGTACAAAATTAATCAATATCTGGGTATTGTAAATTACCGTGTAATTGTAAAGTTCTCTGTAGACTGAAGCTTCAAGGGATGATGTTGAAATGAAAATAATACATTTTGTATAAGAACACTGAGGCTAAAATTGCTTAAAAAATAAGAACAAATTGGGGCTGAAGTAAAATGTCAAATACAGGCCCGTAACCAGTGAGGTTTTGACTAGTTTATTACTGTAGTAATATTTTATCATAACTTTTATTTTTTAAGAAACACTTCAGAGTTTGGCTTATATGAATACCCCTTTTGCATGAATTTGGATACGGAATGAGACTAAAAAAAAAAAAAAAACACCAGTAAAATTCTTTTGGTCTTCATGTGCAGTAGGTGTGACTATGTAATGCCCTCCATAATATAGTACAGTAATATACTTTTTAATTTTTAAAGAATTTAAGCTTCAGTGTTCTTTAAAAAAAATAATGTGTTCTTATAAAAACAATTGTATTATCTGATTTATAAATAAATATTTGTAAAGTATAAAATGTGTTCTTATAAAAAAAAGTGTAGTACTATCTGATTTATAAATAAATGTCAGTAAGTTATAAGTTGTAGCTCCATGGTCTAAATAAGCAACCCTAACCCAAACAGCTTGGGGTATTTGTTCAAATTAGTAAAGCAGATGAGGGGCCTTGGAAAGTAATGTAACATGCATAAGTTTCTATATAAAATCTTGGGACAAGGCCTTTCAATTATTAAATAGAATTGAATTATACAAATGGTATCATCAAACTTTGGGCTTTGTCACTAATTGTGCTTCAAAAACTGAAACATTGGAAAAAAGGACTTGAGACTCTAAAACAGTAATGTAGATTTATATAGCGCTTTGTACCACAACGGTCGATCTCGAAGTGCTTGAGGTGTGGACTGGCTCTTTCAAGTAACTTTCTTCTCCCCCAGGGTGTTCCCCAGTAAACCAATACCAGCAGTGGCTACACTACGGGGAATAGGTGCTGAAGCCATACACCCCCCCCCCCCCAGTTACGGGGAAGTTAGCAAAGATTTGTTGGAGGATAAAAATAATGATTTAAAAGTTTATATCAAATGTTGGCCTGAATTGAATAGGCTTATATAAATTAATAGTTTGGATGATGATGAGATATAAAAAAACACCATCATTAGGTCAAGATGCTCTGTATGAGCGTCTCCGGCTTATTTTTTTTCTCATTTTTCTCATCCAACTTGCTCGCTACTGGGTCTCGACTTTGTTATTACTGGGTCATTGTTCTCATATTCCATACTGAAAATCAGAGTCATACTAAAAGCACAATTGAAAACAAAACCCACTCATTTCATAATGTTAATAAAAAATAGGCTAGCTAAACAAATTTCGATGCTCAAGTACCATATTCTTATTTTTTTTCTCATTTTTCTCATCCAACTTGCTCGCTACTTTGTCTCGACTTTGTTATTACTGGGTCATTGTTCTCATATTCCATACTGAAAATCAGAGTCATACTAAAAGCACAATTGAAAACAAAACCCACTCATTTCATAATGTTAATAAAAAATAGGCTAGCTAAACAAATTTCGATGCTCAAGTACCATATTCTTATAGAGTACCACAGTCGTGTCGTCACAACGCCAGGTGGCGCCCTCTGTCGCCAACCAGACATTGGTTACCGTTCGTTACGCCTGAATGACTTCATAAGGCTTTCTGGAATTGGCATTTTAAAATCTAATATTTACCATCAAAATGTATTAAAAACACAAAAGCTCGCATGATAGCAACGTAGTAGTATCACATGGTATCGTGACGTAACACTGTAGTACGTAGTCTATAACTAAACACAGGCCATATAGGCTGACTCTGTCATGTTAGCAGTAAATTTTAAAAATCTGTAAAATCGCAGTCTAGTCTTCGAGTGGGTGTCGGGCCTCTAAGGTCAATATTTTAAAAACACTTTGCCTCTCTCTCTACCCAAACTTGGAGAACTATTATACTCTACAATATGGAATCTCTCATAGTATGCATTGGATAAAATTTGTTCCTGTGACTGGGACCATAATATTAATAAATTGTGTTACATGTACCACCTCATTCTCTTCTCTCAATGATAAAACGACATCAATATACAGGGAAAGAAATAAGTTTATTAATTCCTGATTTGACTGACAGAATTGTTGTAGGCCAATTTTTTAAATGTAGGATTAATAAGTGGAAAAAAATCAGTCGAAGATTAACTAAAAATCTATAACCCAGCTGGCTGAACTATATTGTGTTGACTAGCTGCAGACTGTAGTCCTGGTTATTCATGTTTGTTTGAAGTGTCAAAGAATAATCATAGAGAAGTGTACAAAATTAATCAATATCTGGGTATTGTAAATTACCGTGTAATTGTAAAGTTCTCTGTAGACTGAAGCTTCAAGGGATGATGTTGAAATGAAAATAATACATTTTGTATAAGAACACTGAGGCTAAAATTGCTTAAAAAATAAGAACAAATTGGGGCTGAAGTAAAATGTCAAATACAGGCCCGTAACCAGTGAGGTTTTGACTAGTTTATTACTGTAGTAATATTTTATCATAACTTTTATTTTTTAAGAAACACTTCAGAGTTTGGCTTATATGAATACCCCTTTTGCATGAATTTGGATACGGAATGAGACTAAAAAAAAAAAAAAACACCAGTAAAATTCTTTTGGTCTTCATGTGCAGTAGGTGTGACTATGTAATGCCCTCCATAATATAGTACAGTAATATACTACTGTACAATAATAATTTTCTATTTTATATATAAAATTATATATAATAAGAACAACAAAAAAAATAATACTTTGTTGAGCCTAAAATTGGCAAAAAAAAACAAAACACTGAGTCTGGGCAAATTTTTACTGGTTCTAATAAAACAAAAAATGTGTAATAATAATAATGATAGTGAAAATGTTACCTTTCAAAGTCTTCCTTTGTCTGAGTCTGAGCTTTCACTGTTGTCATAACAGCATCATTCATGGAACTACCTTACTGTTTTTTTTTTTAGTTTAAAGGTTTGCATATCATACAAATACATCAGGCATATGTCAGACAGAGGTTAGGCCTGTGCTGCTTCAAATTATTGCAGGTGGAATTTTGTATTTGGATTCACCAATGAATTTTGCCTGAAGTGCATCAGTTGCCATGCACACTCCATTGTTATGATAAAAGTCATTAAAACGATATATACAGCCTAATTGAATTCAACTTAATTTTGTAAGAATTGTATAATTTATTTGGATGGTGAAACATAATACAATTACTATAGTAGTGCTTTGTACAGTAATTATAAATGGAAGTCATACCTTTCTTGTCGTGCTCTGAATGGGTGTCTGTGTTTTCGTCATCTGAGGCTGTGTTGTTCTTTGTTCTTGGAAAAAATTTAAACAATATAATTAGAAAAAAATTCATGAAAAATAATTTTTTTTAAATGTTCTTGTAAACTGATTTGGTCAGCTTTTTGCAACTGATTTGGTCAGCTTTTTGCAACCCATTTGGTCAGCTTTTTGCATAGCTCAGTTGGCTAAACAGTACTGGTGGTAGCCATTGTTTGTGTGCTGAACCGTGGAGATCTCTTGGTGCCCAGTTCACTTCCCATTGCTATCAGCACTATCTTTCGGATAAGACGTTTAAGCTGTTGGTCCTGTGTGCATTATGGCCATGTGCACATTAGAAAATGCAATACACTCTTCGGAAAAGAGTAGGCGATTGTCTCCTGGTGTACTGTCACCACCATAAGGGCCCCACTGGAAATAAGTCATCCTTAGACTTTCGTGGGTTATCCAATTAATTCCATCAATCCACCCTTCATTCTATAGCCTAGTGTTACAAGTATAAAAGATGTTCATGCAAAATGCTTATTCACTCAGTCACTGTACCAGTAGTCCAGAATTTAAAAGTGTTATTTCTAGCCATTCAGAAGTTCAATGGCCATAGAACTTTGTACATCCTCAGCCTTAACTCAACCATGGTAGGCTTAGGTTGTCTGGACTTTCCATCTGCAAAAGTGCTCTCCCTAAACCCCATCAAATTTGAGTTCCTGGATCTGGCAGTGCATGCTATAAATTTAAACACTGAATGTAAACTTGTATAGTAGTTGTTTAGTTCATCGTTCACATCAAACTAAGTAGATTTTGTTAGAACAAAAAAAGCATGTTAAAATATATGCTGTTGTTAGTAGTTACTGACTTTTGGTGTGGTAAAGATTACAAAAGTGTTTGACAATACAAACTTATTTTGACAAGCTTTTTTTTTTTACAAGGTAACACAATCTACTTTCATTGTGTTACTCAAGTTTATGATGTGAGTGACAAAAAATATATAATTACATTTTGTATAATAATTCAAAATTTAAGTTACAGTACCTGATTGAGTAACATGTTCTGTAGCACTGTGGGAGGTTACTGAGGATGTTGATGTTGGCCCTTTTGGAAGATTTATACTTGTTGGTGTCAGGGTATCAGATTTAGTGACATACTCTGGTGAGATTGTTGACACTATTGGTGGCTGTTCTGTTGTCAATCTAACATCATCTGGTTTACTTGTTACACTTATGTTTGTGGTAATATCAACCGGGAAAGCTGTTGTCATTACAGACTGGGATTCAATGCCACCATCATCTTGAGTTGTTAAGGTTTCTTGTTTTGTACTGGCACCTGAGGACGTTGTAGTTCCAACTAATGATACTGAATCATCATTATCATCATCAGTTGTCATGACTACAGAAGGTTCTGTAAACGATGTTAATATTCTATCTGGAAAGTCCTTTGTACCTGCAGTAACATTATCAGTAATCATAGATGCTTCAGTTGTCATAGCAACACTTGATTCTGTTACATCGTCAACATCACCTGTAGTTGCAAAGTCAACTTCTGTTGTTAAAACAACATCTGAGGCTGATGGTTTGGGACCAAAAGTGGTATCCATTCTATCACTTCCCAAATCACTTGTCAAATATGTTGATGTTGGCATGACTATAGACACAGTTGTCTGGTCAGCCATTTGTGTTGTCACAGTAGTACCAAGAAATGATGTTACTGTTCTACTGACAACTCCCTCTGTACCTGTTGTTACACTGTATATCGAGGCATCAGTCTGTGATTCTGTCATTGACTGAGTTACAGATTCAACACTTGTCAATTTTGATGTTGTGGCATCCTCTTTTATAGTGGTTAGTTCATCATCAGTTGTTTCCTCTGTGACAGTGCTTATTCCTTGGTCTGGTTCACTTGTGTCATTTATGAAGTCCCCAGCAACAGTGCTTTTTTCTTGGGCTTGTTCATTTGTGCCTATTTCCAATTCTGTTATACTTGCTTTTGTTGACTGTAGGTCACTGGTTGGTAACTCTGTTGATTCCTGTTCTGTGAGCTCTTTTCTGGATATTTCTGAACTAGTAGCAGGCAGATCTACTGCAGAAGTAGCTGCTGGTTCTGTTTCACTGACAGTTGTTATTTCTAGTTTATTAATTAGAGTCACAGAGAGAGTTGTGTTTACATTGCTGTCTGTTTCATATGTTGTTGTAAATACTGGCATAGGGGTTGATTCTGGAGTTGGAGATCCTGGGTTTTGTCCTGTCACAGAGACAGGTGTGTTTACATTGGTGTCTGTTGCATATGTTGTTGTAAATACCGGACTAGGGGTTGATTCTGGGGTTGTAGATCCTGCATTTTGTCCTGTCACAGAGACAGCTGTGTTTACATCGGTGTCTGTTGCATATGTTGTTGTAAATACCGGACTAGGGGTTGATTCTGGGGTTGTAGATCCTGGATTTTGTCCTGTCACAGAGACAGCTGTGTTTACATCGGTGTCTGTTGCATATGTTGTTGTAAATACCGGACCAGGGGTTGATTTTGGGGTTGGAGATCCTGCATTTTGTCCCGTCACAGAGACAGGTGTGTTTATATTGGTGTCTGTTGCATATGTTGTTGTAAATACCGGACTAGAGGTTGATTCTGGGGTTGGAGATCCTGCATTTTGTCCTGTCACAGAGACAGGTGTGTTTACATTTGTGTCTGTTTCATATGCTTTTGTAAATACCGGACTAGGGGTTGATTCTTGGGTTGGAGATCCTGCATTTAGTCCTGTCACAGAGACAGGTGTGTTTACATTGGTGTCTGTTGCATATGTTGTTGTAAATACTGGACTAGGGGTTGATTCCGGGGTTGGAGATCCTGCATTTAGTCCTGTCACAGAGACAGGTGTGTTTATATTGGTGTCTGTTGCATATGTTGTTGTAAATACTGGACTAGGGGTTGATTCTGAGGTTTGAGATCCTGCATTTAGTCCTGTCACAGAGGCAGGTGTGTTTACATTGGTGTCTGTTGCATATGTTGTTGTAAATACCAGACTAGGTGTTGATTCTGGAGTTGGAGATCCTGGGTTTTGTCCTGTTACAGAGACAGTTGTGTTTACACTGGTGCGTTCTGTTGCACTTGCTGTTGTTACTGCAGGCTTAATGGTTGATTCTGTCGCAATCAAAATTGGAAGGAATAAAACTGAAAGCACATCTGTAAAAGATCATAGAAATTGTCAATTAAACAGATATTAAAGACAGAGTAGAATTGAAAATTGAGCGATGTGAAGAAACAACAATCTGTAATTAACAATACCAAACATAATTAAAACCTACATCATACACCAGCATCAAAAATCTGACTATATACACACAATAACTCATCCCTAAATATAAAATTAAGACAAAGGAAAGAAGTAAAGTGGTCTTAATTCCTGGAAGACTTGAAGAGGATTTTTATAGAATATATCTACCACAAAGGGATGTCAAATTACAGTATCTGTCTCAGATCTGTTCATATCTTCTATCAATCAACTAAAGTAGAAATCCCATATCGCATAATAGGCCTAAGTAGGTAGAAATTATGATGCAATTAATGCCAAGGGCATTTTGACTGGCAATAGGTAATTAGTTCTGGTTAATTTTGCAGATATATTCATTTGAAATAAAGGTGTTTAAAGGTTTGCATGGAGAATAAACAATTATTACTGGTAGGTATTATATGCAGTCCACATTATGGTTCTGAAAGGAATATTCTTGACACTCTACAGTTTTTATTAGTGGTGTAGCACAAACAGTGGTGCATCTAAGAGCCTTGAAATGGTGGGGGCCCTCATGATGCGTGACAGTGAAGTGGGCTTAATGATTAGGTGAGCATGTGCTAGCTCGCAAAATATGGTGATTTTTAACTACTTGAGCATGATTTTTTTGGAATGGGGTGTGTCCCCCCCCCCTCCTCGCCCTCCCATAGGTATGCCACTGAGGTACTATATCTTCTTTAAGTGAGACTTGTTTTATACCTTGTTTAGCTAACCCGCTGCCCACCAATACTATTTCAAATAAAAATAAAATTATATTTTTGGAGAGTTGCTGGTACCGGGTTACCGGGTAGCACAGACACGAAGGGACCCTTAGGGGCGAAGAAAGTCATTGATCGAGTTCCTAGTCCACATTTCAAGCGCCCTGAGCATCTTACATTAGATGGATTTGTGCGCTTTAGAAAACTACACTATTATTATTATTTATTATTACAAAAAATGTAAATTTCAGAAAAAAATTAAACTTTTTCTTTATTTTTATTATGCCCGCTGCTGCCTAGAAATCTCCTAAAATAAGATACGTATATTTCTTCCTAATTATAAAGATTTAAAGAATTTAACTATCCCATTACTATACTGTTTACATTCAACAACAACAACAAAATGTTTTCCTCCATCTGGATGTTCTTGGCAAAACTATTTGCTCAACAAGAAAACAGCATTTTTCATTTACACCCTCCAATGATGACCTTTAGAAAAATAAGTTCGCAAAACAATGTATAAAATATAGTCTCGTCTTAATGATGTAATCAGTGGTGTACTACCACAGAAACATAACAAGTCAAAATTTATACAGTAGTATGTTTTTTTTAACTGTATATTAAACATGGTTTATTTGTCGATAATGTCTTTTTAAGATGTATTATTTATTAAACCCAGGCTCCAGAGGAAACATTTTTTTAAATGTTTTTTTTTCCTCCAGAGGATGGCTTTAAAACATAGAGATAAATGTTTATTTTTTTTTGTGAAATTCACATTCTTCTACTACAAAATAATTGATAAATATTTTAGAATTCCAACGCACAGCCTACTCTGAAATAAATCTTTTTTTTTTTAAAGAACTGATTGATATTTAAACTGTGGTAAATGGAACAGCATGCTTGCATTACTACACAGCTCCCTTCCGTAATCTGAATGTGAAATAGGTCACAAACTTAAATCCCTTCAGCTTATGAAAATATTCAAAGCAAATTTTAATATGTGATCATTTATTTTCAAAGACAAGCAAGAGTGAATACAATTAAATTACCAGTCCATAAACAAGCCATAAACATTATTGTCTTTTTCAATGACAGAATTCTGAATGAAAAAAAATGAAAGTAGGATCTGACTATACTGTAATACCTAATTAGTCTTCATCAATAATATTGCGGAATAAGAAGTAAAACACCTGCCCCCACCGCTGCATATATGGCGTCAACAAAAGCAGATAATTTGGTGAACAAAAGAGGTTCCTGATACAGCGAGTAGGCCTGAAACCACGGTTAAGTTGTTCAGTTTCGGATCCATTGTAGGGTAGTCATGTTTTTGATAATTATCTGATTTACAAGAATTTAAGTATAAATTGGCAGAAAAGCCAATGTAATCAGCCTTTTTAAAGTAATATAATAAAATTATATGTTTATTTACATCATAGTTACTATCTTCATTCAATAATTCTTTATTTTTTTGACCTGGGTTCGTTTGATCGATAAATGCATTTTTTAGTTCGCAATTTTTTCAACTTACATTCAATTGTTTCATTACAATTTTAAAATTTTATCCTTAATAAGTTTTTTATAAATATGGTTTATAAAATAAGGATTCAAGGTGAGTCAAAAATCTGACTGAAATTTCATCATCGTATTAAAATTAATACATAAATAATTATTATTTGTTCAGGCAAACCAAGATATTTACAAGGCTTTATCTAACTGAAAGACGTACTGCTTAGGAGACTTATAAACTGCTCCAACCGCGATCTTGATTTAGCGCAGACCAGACCTCCCATCAATTTTGGTATTTAAACAAAATTTTCTTTCATAATTTAGCCGCAAATAATGACTGGTCTAAGCACAGGACTTGGTATCATTAGTCTACTGTAGAATATTTTTATGCTAACAATGTAATTGTGGAGTGGAGTTGTGACTTGCTGATGTGCTTGACTTCTGAATCTTAGGTCCTGGGTTCAATCCTAGAATGTCAAGATTTTCCTAATAACTAAAACTACCGTACTTATAGAGTATCATTGGTACCAAAAAGGTCAGCTTTGTTGCTCCCCTAAGCATACTTGTTATAATGGATGAAAAACACCAAAAGGCAACAAACAAGGTTTTTGTGGTTAAGATGTTTACCTGAATAATCTCAATGTCTAGGGTCAAACTTGTTCATAAACCACAAACATCTTATAAAGAAATGGTAAAGATCAGCTTGTCTGATATTTGATTGTAAAAATTTCTGAATACTGAATTATTAGAATTTAGGTTTTTGTCTTGTGCTGAAGAAATTTGCAATTACTTTTAATTTTGATATAAGGGCACTGGATATTAACTGCTGTATATTTACATAGGCTGCTAGGTTTGTCCACATATGCATTTCAGACATCAATATCTCATTTAACTAATATCACCCGACATGTGTCTGCATCATGTCAACGCATTTCTTTGAGAGCCTTTAATGCATCAACATTTATAATTCACTCTAGTATCACTATCTGGCTTAAATATTATGAGAACATCAGTGGCGGATCCAGGAATGGTTTTTTTTTATAGTAAGTAAAAATTTGCTCAGGTTCTGTGTAACCGTTAGGACCTATAAATATATTATTAGTTTATCACCCTATCTGGGCAGGAAAAGTGATGAGGGAGGGAGGCTTTTTTAAATTTTTTTATTTTGCTAAAGCCAAATATCACCCTTGGGTTGTTTGCTGGTGCATTATTATTCAAAGTAAAACATGATTTAGATAATGCAAACACTATCTACTAACTATTTAATAAAATAAATGAAAAAAATAAATAAATAAAATAAAATTTTTAAAAAAATGTTTAAATTTTTTTTTTCAAAAATTGTTTTTTTTAATTTAAAAAAAATAATAATTTCAATTTTTTTTTTGCCCAGTACCATAGAAGACATGCGTGCGGGGATAATAAACTAATAATTTTTTTATTGGGTCTTATTATTTTTTGGCCAATTTCAGGATCAAAATATTCTTATTTTGTTCTTATTTTAGACACTTTTTAAAAACAGAAAATTATTATTTTACAGCAGTATAACTGTACTGTATTATAGATTTACAGTGTAACACCTACTGCTGCTACTGTAATGTTTTTTTTTTAATAAACTCATTTGACATTTTAGCTCAGTCTTAATTTATTCTTACTTTTATCTTATTTTTTTTTTTAGCAATCTCAGCCTCAATGTTCTTATAAGAAAAATTGTGTAGAGGGGGGGCCAGGGAGGGGCTTTTACAGATGGAAGGCCTAGGGCACGGCAGCCCCACCAAGGTTGTCACTGGAACTAAGAAAGGTTATGATTATGGCACCTAGATGGCTGGAAATGGCATTCTTAGACTTCAATTTGATAATTATATATCTTTTTTCTCTCCATTGTTTTTTAATTTAAAAAAAAAAATAGGGGGAAGGAGAAGGCCAGCTGGGTCCGCTCCATTGAATCCGCCACTAAACATGACAGGTTTATAGGTTTATGTAAATGTGGATCTGTTTTATTAGTCAATCCTTGGTCATGTGGTTGTAGATACGTATACCGTAAAACCTTGAATGTAAGGCCTGGGCTTCCTCTTTTTTTGCAAAGTTTGGATGGGCTTCTTTTCGAGGTTACTTTTCAAAGTAAAAAGGGGGCTTCTTTTTAAAATGAATGCGCCCAGTACCATAGAAGACATGCATGTGGGGATAATAAACTAATAATTTTTTTTATTGGGCCTTATTATTTTTTGGCCAATTTCAGGATCAAAATGTTCTTATTTTGTTCTTATTTTAGACACTTTTTAAAAACAGAAATTCAATTGTTTCATTACAATTTTAAACATTACAGCAGTATAACTGTACTGTATTATAGATTACAGTGTAACACCTACTGCTGCTACTGTAATGTTTTTTTTTAATAAACTCATTTGACATTTTAGCTCAGTCTTAATTTGTTCTTACTTTTATCTTATTTTTTTTTTAGCAATCTCAGCCTCAATGTTCTTATAAAAAAAATTGTGTAGAGGGGGCCCAGGGAGGGGCTTTTACAGATGGAAGGCCTAGGGCACGGCAGCCCCACCAAGGTTGTCACTGGAACTAAGAAAGGTTATGATTATGGCACCTAGATGGCTGGAAATGGCATTCTTAGACTTCAATTTGATAATTATATATCTTTTTTCTCTCCATTGTTTTTTAATTTAAAAAAAAAAATAGGG